CTTTTATTATTACTATTTTTGTTTTCTTTTTGGAATAGGCATTGAAGCCGTGGCCTCATTAAGCAAGCACCAAGCCAACCCCTACCTCTTTTTTTTTTATTTATTTGGAGACAACGGTCTCCCTAGGTTATCCAGGCTGGCCTCAAACTTGGGATCCTCCTGCCTCAGCCTCTACGGTTGCTGGGATCACAGGTGGGGGCTGCCATAGTCCACCTCCCAAGAGTTTCTGTGAAGCAAAGGTCTATCCTAAGGCAAACCTTCCTCCTCACTGGTTCCCAGCGGCTCTGGGAGGTCCTCTGATCATGCCCTTGTTGGACGGGTGCTGGAAATGCACTCTATGCTGGCTCATTCCGACCTTCACCGGTACCAAGTCAGACAGCAGAGAGGCTCTGTTTGCTTGGTGCCCCTAGAAATGCACGATCAAAGCTCAGAAACCGGGAGCCCAAATGGACCTTTTGTCTTTATAAGTTGATTACCGTGGGCATTTGTTATAGTAACAGAAAGCTAACACGGCTTCTCAGTGTCCTGTCCGTGGCCTGAGGACCCTCCTTAGCTACTGAAATGAAGGTGACAAGGTCGCACTGGGATGGGGGGGGACCCAAGGGAAACCCCCTCCCTCCCAGAATCCGGCTTCCACCATTACTAGTGACATGGGAGAGGGCCCATCAGATAAGCAAGACGGAGAATTGTGAGTCCTCTCGGTGGTTTGGGGTTACTGTGAGTTTTAATTATCGTTCCGTTCCTGGGCTTCTACATGGGCCTGATCATGGTTCTCCCCCTGATGTATTGCCTTCTGCCGTTGGAAGTTATAGCTTTATTATTAAAGCAAAAAAACTAAGTCCTCGTAAATTACCTTTCTTTAAATAGCCTTCCAGTCGGACTCCGGGAGGAAGGAGCCCGGGAAATTGATGGCCTCTACGGTTTTCCAGAGTCGTTTCAATAGCCCCAGGAAATGGAGCTGAAATATAGGCTTCTTAAACGCTATTCTTTATACATGAATACCACGGCCCTCAACAACCAGAGCCGATGAAATGTACCCACCAAACAGCAAGAAGGCACACATTGTACCTGTGAGAGCCTTCTACTTCTTTCGCCTGTTATACAACTTTACCTATTATACAACCCATGCAATCAGTATTAACTTAAATATAGAGAGGCACACACGTACCTTAGTACCTTAGATGCAAGGTTTTAAGTCTCTTATGTAACCACCCACGTGTGTCTCTATCCAAGGGGACCCTGACTTGGGATGCTTGGATTGTTTTCTTATTTTATTTTAATTTATTTTTTTACTGTACAATGATGTGAACTTGATAGACATTCAGTAGAACTGTACCCCAAAAACTGGATTGGATCTTATTCCTGGGCTAGTGATATGTTGTGCGAGATTCTGACAGCTCGGGAGGCTGAGGCAGGAGGATCGTAAGTTGGAGGCCAGCCTCAGCAACTAGCAAGGCCCTAAGCAACTTAGTGAGATCTTGTCTCAAAATTAATCCTGGGTTCAATCCCTGGTTACCACCTCCCCACCCTGCAAAAAGAGGTCTGGCAATATGGCTCAGGGGTGAAGCACCCCTTGGATTCAATCCCTGATACCCCCTCAAAAATAGGCTGGGATCATTTGGTGGGATAAATGCAGTAGATATATTTCCAACTAAAGACATATTCAATTGACTAAAGATATAATCCCATTATAATTGAGGAACATATGAATCTGGTATGTGGTGCATATATTTATATATAAATACATGATATATATTAAATGTATATATAAATATATACAAAATATATATGCCACATAAATGAGCATTAATATATAAAATATATTTATATACTTATACATATGTATTTAATATCTATGTGTGATCAGCATATGACATATAATGTATATATAACTAACACATATAGTATCTATAAATACGCACCATATATAAATTAAATACGTTTAATCTGCATACAATATTTTTCTTAATTTTCTTAAAAGCAGACACGTTACTTTTTATATATTATATAACAAATTTCATATAACACGTAACATGGTATTTGCACGTGATTAAACATATCTAAATTACCCTTCAGGTCTCTCAACGTCCTCACATCAGTCGATTATGAACTTCTAAAATAAATGTGCACGTGACTGTGTCTACACATACACACGTATACACGCCCACATCCCATTACCCTTAATATTCTCAAGATTTCAACTATCTGAGGGCCTCCAAAAGATTGAGAATCTGTGAATTTACTCTGTGATTTCCATGTGTTTGATGTTCCTGTTCCTTGCCCACATCCCAAGTTCTTAGAAATTGATTGCTTCAAGATATCTGGTGGGGGGGGAGACGGGATTTGAAAATCAAAAGGAAGCCTAAGTGTTAGTTGCTTAGGGCCTCCACTAAGTTGCTGAGACTGGCCTCCAACTTCCAATCCTCCTGCCTCAGCCTCCAGAGTCCCTGGGATCACAGGTGTGTGTCACTGCACCCCGCTCATCTGGCATTTCTAAAGGGTGTTTGAGGGATCCAATTCAGTGGGACATTAATAGCTAGAGATGGTGCATGAAGGTCCCTGTTGGCAAGTCTGGGAAATCTGAAGACAGTCTCTGGCCACAGGAATGGGAGTTGTGTAATGAGCGTGTGGCTTGTGGATTGCAGACGGACGGAGCCTTATCCAAGGCTGCCCAGGCTGACATGAGCAAGCTGGGGACAAGGACGTCCAACCAGAACTTCTCTGAAGCTCCTTGTCCTTATTTCTAGAAGAAATGTTGCATTGCCTACTTTGCAGGATGGTTGACGGAACAAGAGATGAATGACACGTGGTTACTCCCAGCCACTTGAGAGCTTGTGGCTACGTCTACGCAATTTCTGAAATAAGGAGACCATTTTTCCCTCGAGCAACGAATGGTTCTTTAATCTTGGACTCTCAGCACAGGCCGTTTCGAATATTTCTTTTTATAAAAAGAAAAAAAAAATTCACGAATGCTTCATAATTATACGTAATAGTGGAGTTCGTTGTGACACATTCGTACATGCCACAACAAAATAATTCGGAAAATTCCGTTCCCTCCGGTGTGCCCCTGGAGGGCGGTCCACGCCACAGCAGACCCCCTGGTGTAGCGGGAGGGCGGGCGTTGAGTGGGGTGGGGTGTGTGTGCTGGGATGCTGTATTTCTAGACAGCTCTGGAGGACGTCAGTTTGGGGAGCACTTTCGATGTCCCCCAGTGCAGGGGGGCAGACCTCACCTGTTTCCTGAACGCAGATTGTACTCACGTGGTGAAACCAGCCAAGGACGACGACCTCTGATGGGCTGCGGAAAAGTCTATTTCTACAAGACAGATCCCCAGCCGATACTGACCCCCCTACCCACCCCGGTGGACCGTGGCCTTTGACCCTTGCCCATTGCAGATGTGTCCTGGAGGGAGGAAAGCAAACAGTAGACTTCTAGGAAACAGTGGGTCCCAGAGATAAGCAGTGAACACCCAGTTCTGAGTTTTTCACAGTGACAACAAGTTTCAAAGTTTTTCCAACGGCTTTCCTGAGCTAAGATCCATCTGGCTCAACCCGACTGTCCAAACACATGTCCGCAGACTCCAGTGACTAATTCACCGTCCTCGTAAACCCTAAATCCCAAACTCCTTCTGTCACCCGGGGGCCATCTTCCTACCCAGAAAAGGAGCCCTCCCGTGCCGATGGATCAGCTTCTCTGCAGAGTAAAGGGGAGCTTGCTGGTCCGAGGTCTCCCGCCTGCATCCTTCCTGGGCCGGGAGCTCACAACCTCCCTCTCCAAGGCGCCAGGCAGACGCAGACCTTTCCCAACTTGCACTTGGATCCCGTCCCGATAAACCCGTTCATGAGGTGAAACTCTTTGTAAGGCCAAGTGTACTGAATGCATCCAACCTCCCGAACAGCCCAGCTTCTCCACCCAGCACCCTGGAGAGGGTCTTGTGTTCCCCCTGGTGATCCTGTGGCTGATGGGGACCTGGGGCTCCCCACTGGGAAGTGTCCAGCACCCTGGGAGAGGAGCTTCCTCCTGCATCACACGGGCTCCTCCCAGGTGAACTTAAGGCCAGGACTGCATCCAAGGATCACTTAGCAGCAAGCCCCCGTGTCCCATGAGGAAAACATGATTTTTCAAGAGCTTGTCTTCCGTCTTATGCATGCAAGGGATGTTTCAGAAGAATGTGGAAAATGAGCCTTTACAACAACAGTGTGCTAGCTTCTGAGAGTATAAAGATGAATAGAAAGATATACTCCTAAAAAACACAATGACATGCACCACGTCTTCACGTCTGGGGAACAATGAAGATGAAGGCCACGCATTTCTCTGATGTTCTCCTCTGCAGTTCACAAGAGGCTCTGCCGCGGCAACTGCGGTTCACAGAAATCGCCTCCCGCGATTCCTGCCCCCTGAGCTGCAGTACACGAAATCGAGCAAGCGTGACCCTCCCAAGTATCTCAAGTCCTTGGAAGTCTGACACCCTCGACCTCTTCTTCTAAACGTTGGCTTATTTTTGTAGCACATCTCTAGGAGGCTTCAAAAGACAGGCAAACCCCTCAGCTCACTGCTAGGAGTAAACTACCCCTGACCTAGGGATCAATTATGACACGTAAGCTGGCCTTCTGATTTTTGTTTTAAGTTTTTAAAACAAACTTAAAAAAAAAAAAAAGACCTAACAAACAAGAATGTTGTGATGTGACCAAAACAAACAAAAACAACTTTCTCATCTGAATATCCATTTTTTTTTTCCATTCCAGAGAATGGAAGGAAATTGAGGAGAACTCTAAAGACTCCAGCTATTGAGTATTGGTAGTAAACCCAGCATTTTTTATTTTATTTTGGTACCAGGGATTGAACTCAGGGGCACCTGACCACCAAGCCCCATCCCCAGCCCTACTTTGCATTTTATTTAGAGACAGGGTCTCACTGAGTTGCTTAGTGCCTTGCTTTTGCTCAGGCTGGCTTTGAATATGCAATCCTCCTGCCTCAGCCTCCCAAGCCAGTGGGATTACAGGCATGCACCACCGCGCCCGGCATCCCACCGATATTTCTGCAGTGAGTTTGCTGTGGATTGAGCTGTATCTCCCCCAAAGATATGTTGGATTCCTCACCCTCAATACATGAAAAAGTGACCTTATTTGAAAGCAGAGTCTTTACAGAGATAACCGTGTTGCAATGTGATCATTTGGGTAGACTTTAACCCAATATGACAGGTGTTCTTAGAAAAGGAGAAAATTTGGACACAGAGACTCACAGAGGGAATAGGATACTACAAGATACAGGAAACAACAACCACACATAAGCCAAGGAGAGAGACCTGGAATAGACCCTTTGCCAACAGCACTTAGAAGGAAATAACCCTGAAATCACCTTGAGTTAGGATTCCGGGCTCTCATAAGAACTGACAACACATTTCTGTGGTTCAGATCCCTTAATTTGTAGGACTTTGTTATAACAGCCATAGTAAATTCATGCAGAATTCATGAATGACTGCATTTGGGTTACAATCCCTTGTCTTCCCAGCATCCTCAGAGGGAAATTGCGACTGCATTACATGGTGGAAAGCGGCTATAGATTGTAAAATGTAATTTTGTCGACCACATACTATTCCTTAGTACCAAGGGATTCCCTTGCCTCTTGCTCATTTGGCACCCTCATGGATGAGAAGATGTAAAAATGGTAACCAGAAGGTAATTTCTGAAGTTGGGGGGCTGGGACAAGCTTTTCAGGTTGCACCCTGAAACATTGGAAAAGGGGGCGAAAAGGCAGGCAAAAAGCCCTAAGACAGGAACAGCTGCAGCATATTATTTTTTAATCATTTTCTATCATTTCAGGATCCTCCTTTCCTCTCTGGATTCTGCCCAGCTTCCCCCTGGACAATGCACACTGCTCTGAGGATTGGCACATGCATTTCTTTTTTTTTTTTTTTGGAACCAGGGATTGAACTCAGGGGCACCTGACCACCAAGCCCCATCCCCAGCCCTACTTTGCACCTTTTATTTAGAGACAGGGTCTCGCTGAGTTGCTTAGTGCAGCTCAGAGAGGCGGATGCTCCACTGCGCATGCGCCGTGGGCCCCGCTCCGGGCCCTGCAGGGAAGCCGGCGGCCAAACCCGAGAGGGAGCCTGGCCCAGTGACCCGGAGTCGGCTCCTGGGGGCTCGGACCGACCCGCTACGGGTGGCCGTGGGCAAGGCCATTTGTGTGCAATCGGTGGCGGGCGGCGGTGGCACTCGGAGCACCTTTGCCGGCCCCTTGCCCAATCCCCTGCCTGCCCCCTCCTTGACTCCCTTTCCAAGTCCTCCTTGACTCGCCTCTGCGCGGCCTGAGGCTGCGAGGCTCAGCCAGTTTCTGGAAACCGGTGAACACCTGCCCCTCTCCCGCGCCGCTTTTGTGCTGGGCGACCGCGGCGGCCGCCGAAGCTGCAGAGACCCGGGCACGCAGCGCGCGTGCGCGGAGCCGCGCGAGTCCGCCCGAGAGCGCGCGTGCGCGGGGGGCGCCAGAGGCCCGCGGCCGACGGGCGGCAGGCAGGCAGTGCGCATGCGCAGCGAGGCTGCGGCGCGTGCGCGGGGACGCCGGGCGCGCGCCGCTCTTCCCCGCCCCCTCCCCGGCAGAGATGGCAGCGCCCGCGCCCGCGTCCCCGCCGCGGCCCGTCACCCACCTCATCTTTGACATGGACGGCCTGCTTCTGGGTGGGTAGCGTCCGGCGAGGGCCGCCGGCCGAGTCGGGGCGGGACGGGGAGTTTCAGGGCTGGGGACCCGCGGCGCGGCGGCGGCGTCCGGGCCGGGACCCTCGGGCTTCCGCGCGCTCCGCCCCGGGCCGTCCCCGAAGTCGGGCGGCGGCCGGAGCCCGCGGTCCCATGACCAGGCTGCCGGGTGCGCGTCGCGGCCGCGTCTCCGCGGCCCCAGCGCCCGCTTCCGGCGGGGCCCGAGCACGTGGGGCGCCGTCCCTGGGGACCCCCGGCCGGTGTGCCACCCGCCCCGCGCCCAGCCTCAGTGTCCCCCACTGCAAAGGGGCGCGGAGGGTACCTGTCCCCGGGCCGCCGGCCGAGGTGAGCGCACCTTGATTGTCGCGCCCCGCAAGGTGTGGCTTCTCACCCCGGCGGCCTCGTCCCCCTGGGGACCTGGTCACCATCCGAGGCATTTTTGAATGTCCCAGCTGGAGCAGGGAGGTGGGGTTACCTGCACCTAGTGGACTCCAGCCCATTGCACAAGACAGCTCAGAAGCAAGCCATGACAAGGACTTATCCATCCCCAGGTGTCCCGGTTGGTGCAGAGGTGGGGAAGCCCTGCCAAGTGGCCTGGCCGCCCAGCCTGGCCAGCCAGCAGCCAGGGCATTACCTGGGAAGTGCAGGGGCTGGTGCCCCAGCCCACACCTGCCCCGTGGGACTCTGCCTTTGAACCCAAGCGCCTGCAAGTGTGAGCAGTGCCGCTCTGCGGATCTGAGGCCCAACAGATCCTGGATGGTGTACCCCGGTCAGTGCAGGTCGTGCACAGTTCGCTGGCCTGGAGGAAGCCAGGGGGAGTTCAAAGACAACACCAGGTAGATAACTGCAGACAGGAACTCGACCCCCAACCTCAGCAGAACCAACAGAGTGAGCCTCGCTCCGTGTCCCACGCTCACATCCACACCAGACCTGCAGATGAGTCAACATCCCACACACTGCCCTTCCACGGCCGACCTCTGCGTGTGCATAGCTGATTGCTGATCTCAGAACACGGCTAGGTAGGAGGAAGTATTTGCCTTTGACTAATTAAAAACAAAAACAAAGTCTGAGGCTCAGAGAGCTGTGAAGTCAGCTCTCTGTCCCTGTGATAAAGCAACTGAGAAAAACAAGCTGCAAGGAGGAGAGATGTGTTCTGGCTCACGGTTTCAGTCGGTGGTGGGTTGTCTCCCCCGCCCCGGGCCTGTGGTGAGGAGGGACACCGTGATGGAGCCGACCTGTTCACCTTGTGGCCACTGGAAAGCAGACAGAGGAAGTGATGGGGAGAAAGATATAGTCCCCAAGGGCACACCCTGAAGGACCCACACCCTTCAACCAGGTCCCACCCGCTACAGTTTCCACCACCTCCCCAAAATGTCATTAAATTACAAATCAGAGCCCTCGGGATCCCGTCGCTTCCAAAAGCCCCACCTCTGGACATTGGTGCAATTGGGGACCAATAGGGAACATTCAATTTCCAAATTATAAGACACCTAAAAGTACTTGCCCAAGGTCTCACAGCCAGTACAGAAGTTAGCAGAGAAGGATTCTGAATTGATTTGCTTCTAAATATGTGTGATAATTAGCTCATCTTCATGTTTGAATGTGACCTTGGTCTCTGTTCATACTGCTGAGTATTCAGTGGTAATGAGACTGATTTTTTTTTTTTTTTAAACACACACCAACTAGTCTCTTCATTTTATGGACACAGATGTAAATTGCTGAATTTCAAAAGGGTTGAAGAAATCCCCACAGAGGTCCCTAATTGGAACAAGCAGTGTCTTGTAGGTGCTCAGTTTGAAATGACTCCATTCCAGAAAGCGTTTGGGATTCCTAAGTGTAGTTCCTAGATGTGAATTTTCTTACTCAAGTGGTCAAGAAGTTTAATTGTCGAATACGTTCCTTATCCCCCTAGTGAAGGGTCCAGGTGACCTGTCCTAAGAGGCTCATGAATTTTAATGCAAACCAAGATCTCTCATTAAAGTCAACTTGTAAAATTAGCTTGATGCCTGATTTTGATCCTAGATTCACATAGAGCCATATGGATGTGACTTGGGTGGCATTGCTCGTGGGGGGTGGTTATGGAGTTATGGACCAGGGTCTCTTGACAGCTGAGCTGGACCGGTTCTCAGAGGCCGATCAGCACCCTTACCCTGGTGATCCTCTCTTCTGATCAGAGAGTTGCATTCCTGATGTTTGGAAAGAGAGACCTAACCCTGTTACCCTCCCCCACTTTCTGCCCTCTTATCTTCCCCAAGTCTCCTTTTAGCTTTCCCAAGGACCAAATCGTACCTCCTCTAATTCTGACTGCAGCATATCTTGTTTGCATAACAATGGATCCCGGATTTCTAAGGGCTCCTTTCTCCGTGGGTCTGTTTGTCTTTGGAGTTTTGAATGCACTTCCCCAGGAGGCCGGCTTTGTCCCGTGTAGCCCCAATAGTGCAGTTCACAGGGAAGTGAAATCCAAAACAGTTTCTAGGGGAACTTGTGCAATGCAAGAATGAGGAAGTCAGCAGGACTTCAGCGAGATTCTCAAGGACGCCCGCCCGGGCACTTTACAGTGAGTGTTATTGTGCTGTTGATTGTCCTTTTAAACAGAAAGCACACTTCTCGATCTTTTTTTTTTTTTTTTTTGGTGGTTGTTGACACAGGTAGGGATGAATCGGCTGTGACTCACATAATAGCCAATGCCATCAGAGAAAGAGAAGAGGGACATGATTTTGAGGGAAGAGGCCAAGTGTCTGGGCCCCTCAGCAGCAGGGTAGGGACCAGAGCCAAAGATCCCGGTTTCTTCAGAAGTGGAGGGATGTTGCTTTCCGGAGTGGCTGGGTCTCAGGAATGCAGTGAAGCCACAGTGTTTTCTGAGCAGCTTCAAACAAGCAGAAGGATTTAGACAACTCTGATTTGGATGATGTGTTTGTCTAACTCAGTGTTCCCCAAAATATTGTTCTCACTTAGTATAAGAAACTTGGAGTTTTGTTATACTTGTTTTTAATACTAAGTCCTCAAAATTTGTGTATTTTACACTCGACACATCTCAGAGTGATGTGGTTTTTTTTTTTTTTTTTTTTTTTTTGTGGGGGGGGTGGTGATTGAATTTAGGGGCCCTGGACCCCTGAGCCCCATCCCCAGCCCCACTTTGTATTTTATTTAGAGACAGGGTCTCACTGAGTTGCTTAGCGCTTCGCTTTTGCTGAGGCTGGCTTTGACCTCGCGATCCTCCTGCCTCAGCCTCCTGAGCTGCTGGGGAGCTAGCCTCATTTTGAGGGGTCACTGGCCACTTACTGGCTGGAGAGCACAGACCCAGATTATGGGACAGCAGCCCCTCTGGATGAAGGCTGAGGTGGGAGGGCCAGGCGGAGGTGGATGTAAAAAGGCACAGAAAGAGCCATTTTGGTGTACACAAATGTGAAAGGTGTTTTTAGGAGTCTCCCACAGTAGTTATGTAAACTTCCTAGAGAGTCACCAAGGAAATAAACGTGTTTTTGAATTCTTGAAGAATGGGCAGAAAGGTCTGGGTGTAGCTCAGTGGTAGAACATCTGCCCCGTACAAGGTGCTGAGTCTCATCCCCAGCATCACACTGTGTGTGTGTGTGTGTGCGTGCGCGTGCACACGCGTGTAGCTCCAGAAAACACCAAGATGATAAATCTGAGAGGGGAAGTAAAAATATGTGTGTGTGTTCTGGTTTTGGTGTTCACACCCCCCAGATGTACCAGATGGCAGGATTTGATGGGTGACAGGAGGATTTGTGGTTGACCGTCGTGTGCTGGGACAAGGCCTGTCCTCTACCCCTCGCCCTCCCACAGCTTCCTCTTTCTAGGGAATGGCACCGCCTCCGATGGGTCCCAGGTGACACCCTCAGGTCCTGGAGGCAGGGTCCCTGGAGTGCTCAGGGAGCCGTGTGCCCAGGCAGTCACTGGTGTGCTGAGCGGTGGGCAGTGGGTCCGGCACCCACAGACAGGAGGTCAGCGGGCTCAGGGTCCCGTGTCCTGTTAACTTGGCCCAGACTCCTGCCTTAAACCCCAGGACAGACGTCCTCAGACCTGAAGACAAAAATAGACTCCCCTTATGCAACCTCAGCACGTGGAGGAGGCCCATGAGCACCTGAGGCCTCAGCCCCAGGCGTCCTGTCTCCTCGCAGACCTGGACCGGGCAGCCCCGTCTGTCACTGTGTCCGTGTTGAGTGTGCAGCCCAGCTGCCCTTGTCTGAGTGACGGAGCCGGTTGCGGTTTCAGTTGCAGGTTCTGCAGGCCGATGGGCCTCGTGTCCAGCTGGCGGTGGACAGCGTCTTGCCGCGCTGCAGGTGGGAGGGGGCTTCCTTACCACGCGCCCCCTTCCTCCTCCTCCCTGGGGTGGGATCTGGGCAGAGTCAGGCACCCTGCTCATGGCCTTTGTTTGCTGTCTGGGGACAGGTGTCACTTTGCCTTTCTCCTGGAGAAGCTGCGTGTAGGTAGGGGACTGTGGGTTCCTTGTACCCTTCTGATGGTCTGCTCTCGACCCCGATTCGCTCTTTTCAGCTTCTGCGCTCTCAGTTCCTGTCTGCCATTACTCAGGGGTAGATGGAGATCCGTGGCCATCAAGAGGCAGCCCCTGAGAGATGTCTGCTGAAGGCAGTGTTTTCTAGGTTCCCAGGTGACCTCTCCGACTCTTCACCTGTGGCCTGAGTCACTGCTGCCTTGGAACCTGTCCCCAGTGCAGCAGCATGAAAGGGGTGGGGGGCTAGGCCACCAGGGCTCCAGCCTCTGCAGTGGGCCTCTGGGCCTCTCGGAGAGGCCCTGGAGCTGATTGGCCCCAGCTGCCCGCCCTAGGAGCCCACATCAAGGAGGTGCCGTCTGCAAAGCAGAGAGCAGGCCTCTCCAGCGCCAGGTCTGCCGACACCTGGGCTTGGACCCCGTCTCCAGAACCAGGGGCACCCCCGTTCCCCTCCAAGGCCGACCCAGCGCCAGGCATAGTGCTGCGGCAGCTGGGACAGCAGCCTGGCGTCCGG